AATTTGAAATCAGTGATTGAGGTAAATCGTTTATCTCACACGAGATGCACTTAAAGGGGGGGGCAAAGGGGGCAGGAGGAGTGGGGGGTGAGGGGAAAGCATGGCGCACGTCGTTGGTTTGGTGGATTTGAAGCAGTAGAGAACTGACAGCGATAGGGGACCGATTTGGAGCGATAGTGCGGCACTCGCTGCCATTCGATCAGATACGAAAGGGCGAGGAGGATGCACTGGAAACAAGAACCAGGGAGATATGCTGCGACAACTCAACATCTCGCAGAAAATGCATGAGAAAAAGTATCGACTCCGGAAATAAATAAAAAAAATCCCGGAACAGCGCCAGCGCCAGTCCAGAGACCGCTTCAACCAACCAACCAGGAACCCGACACCAACCCCCAAAAAGTCCAGAAATCCAGCATGCATGACTGCACCGGAACCCAAACTCCTTGTGCAGTCCCGTCCAGCCCCCAAGAATGGAAATGCTGAACTCCCTCCAGCCCCATACCTCACGTTCTCACGCATAAACCCCGAACACGGCCCAATCGACAGGAAGATCTCTCGAGGACCTTGTTCTAGCCGTTGTTCTGGCGACTCTCCATACATAACCACCGGACCGGTTTCGACAAGTCAGGTACCGATGGAATCGTGTTGCCCCGGGGCATTATCTTTTAAAGGTCCCTCTGCACACATGCTACTAATCCTGACTACAAATCTCAGTCCTGACAAGTACCTGTAGTCGTGACAAGGGCTGGAAGCCTTGAAGTTAAGTACTTCCAATGAAGGACTCGAACAGACAGAACCACCAAGGTTTTTATCAAGCAAATATGCAAATATGCAAGGGGAATTCCTGCTTTCTACTGGGGCGAGTTACTTCGTGTTATCAAGTACTTAAGTATATAATATCTCGAAGATATTAATTTAAAAAGATCCATTCGTGATGTCTCACAGTTGTCCATGGACATTTAGCGGCGATGGGAAGTCTAAATTACAGGCGGAAATAGAAAGGAATAGACTCTTCGACACAACACAAGAACTGCTAAGAGAATCGTCAACAAGACATCAACAAGACATCAACAAAGCATCAGCTGATTGATTAGAGCCCGAGCGTTAATCTCGTTAATGCCGGATGACGATGTGTAATTCACAAGACTCGATTTCGGGAGATTTCAAGTGTTTTGCTTCGTTCTAAAATATTCTGGACGTCTATACAGGGCGTTTCAAAAGTTACTGACCCACTAAAACAAAGATGAAGAGATTAAGGACGAAGCGGCTTCGTGGCTTCGTATTCACGAAACATTCTTACGAACTTTTTTCTTCGTAAGGAGAGAAAAGTTCTCAAGTGGTATTCATGAAAAACTTTTGCGGAAATGTTCGTACGATCCTCGCACGCCGTTCGCAAGAATGCTGCGCGATTTCGGTATCCACGAAAGCGCAAAAGTTCGTATCTTTATTCGTGAGTGAGTCCTCGAATGGTCCACGATAACGACGTCGAGGCATTATTTAGAACTCTCATTGGGTGTCTCGATTAAGCTAAGGTTCATTCACCGGGCGGTTAACAGGATATACGAGTGTCTGTTCCAAAAGAGTGGGGGCGTGGCTTTGCTGAACACGTCTGGGCACGTCGTGACCCCTCTGGACAGGTCTGCCGCTCATGGTTTAAAGAAAACTGGGGAAACTTCCCCAGTTTTCTGCGGTCAGCGGTTGAAGTAAGATCGAAACGATCAGAAAATCTCGCGAATCTTGGATGCTTCACTGCGACGACGCGCCTGCCCACTCGGCGCAAACGCCGTTTCCCGCACAGGGCTTCCCCTTCTCCGTGTGACTTTTTTTTCTCTTCCCTCAAGAAAACCTTGAAAGGAAGATTTTGTGATGGGGAAACCACAAAAAATGCAACTGAGCAGCTTTCAGCGATTCTACCAATTGCTCATCAGAGGTGCTTCCAACAACGGCAGAAACGTCGGGAGAAGTGTGTGACTGCACCGTAAATAAAATATTTTGTTTCCTAAAGCATCGTATGCACACAGGATCCGCAAGATTTCGTCTTGAGATCGTGAGATCATTCGCGTTCGTCCAGAGTCAGAAGACGACAATGCTCCTTCGGAGCATTGTCGTCTTCTGGAAGGGTGAGGGCTCAAGGCCCTCAACCTTCCAAAATTATGATTTTGCTTCCCTCCTCACTTTCAAATCTTAATTGAGTATTCATGTTTCCCATGATGATGGAAGAGCGATGAAACATGACTCAAATCTCAAATTCAGATGGAAGAATTGCAAACGAACTGCAAAGGAATGGGAATGCGGAAGAGGTAGCACATGGAGCCTGTTCCTCGCCTCTGCTAAACTTAAATCTAAATCTAAAAGCAGCCTAAAAGCAAAAAGTCTATTCTTCGCCCTGACCCTTTAGATTTAAATTTCAGTTTAGCAGAGGCGAAGAACAGGCCCCTGGACTTGGAGGGGGGGGGGGGGGGCCCGACGCCTAAACACGTTTCCTCCGCCTCTAATTGGAGGACAGCAATGAAAGAGGCTCGAGGCTCTGTGGGCTGTGTGAAAAAAGCCCGACCATGATGGAGTTGATGTAAGAGTCGTGCAGCTTTAAAACTGCGAAGTCCTACTCCTGTAGTCACTCGAAACAGTTGATATCATCGTGGGTCTGATGTCTCCTTCCTGCGAGATGTGTTTACAAATCGTAGAACGGATGAAGGTCGGAGAGGCAATAAAGGTCGAAGTCGAGATAACAAGGTTGCAGCCAAAAGGCCGTATTTATTTATATCAAGCACCTGCGACGGTACGACCATGATATTCGATGGCCTTCGACGTGTTTTAAGGAAATCTTACCCAGACCCGAACCCGCCGTTGATCTGCATCGACTTCATTCGGCGCCCACCGGCTGAAACTTTTCTGAATCAGTGAGATGATTATGAACTCGTCGAGACGCTATTAACCAAACCGAACCAAACACGTTTTGCAAGTTCGTTCAATGTCTTCTTCGCTCCGCTTGTGTTCCGCTGCCCGTTTTTTCGCTGCTGCCCAATGGCTTTTGGGGTTAAACTCTTCCGATGCAGGGATTTCATGTGAATTTTCTCAATTTTCGGCCCTGAAAAGCACGAGGACACGACGTAATCAACTCGATCACCCGTAAAATGAAATAAATAAAATAATTTGCATGATCTAAACGCGATTTCATGATTCTAATATAGGCAACTACCACTACCCTCGTTATTACTCTTAGGCCAAGAGGCTTAGAGCTCTTCGCGCTCCCCGCGTTCTTTCGCTCGCTCCCTGACGGCGCACTTTGTCAAACGACAACTCTTTAGACCTGGCATTTTTTCTTCTGCATCCTTGGATCTGAAGGGCGACAAAAGGGAGAGTGTAGTCTCGCGATTCGTAAGATCTGGCTGTGCTCGTCTGTTTACTCATCTCAATCTCGCTCATGGGGTCAGCACAAGATTCAAGCGACAGTCAGCAGCGATGGCTTCATTATACGAAGTTTTAAGGGAAAACCGGTCGGCATCGTCCATTGGACGGTTCCCGAGAGGAAGGGGCTGGCCTTTGTCTTCGTGTAGCGGGAGGAATGCCCTCGAACTTTCTCCTCTCAAGGAATCAGGCAGGTACGAACCGAAGGGAAAGACTGTGAGAACTTCTTTAGTCTTCACGGGTCTTGAAACCTTTAGTAGAGTCCTTCACGGGCCCCACTCCCAGCACCCCGGTTCATTCCAGCGATCGATTCATCGAGGAGAAACGAGTCTCAACGGTCCGCGTGGAAGCGGCATCCCAACACGCACGCATCCTTCATTCGTTTCACCATTCACGAATTCTTTCTTTTAACCCAGTCATTTCCCGAGTGGCTCGCATGCCTCCACTCACGCACTCGTGCGGCATGCCCCATGCTTTTGGAGGGCGCTCGCCCCCTTCCCCCTTTCGGTACTTCAGCCTCTACCTTCGTTCCTTGACAAATAACAGTTGTATGACGTTCTCTAAAGCAGTTCAATTGGCACCATGGTAACGCGTATTTACCGTATTACGCGTGCGTCACCCCCAGCCATCGATAGCCAAGCCTTGAATACCTTAATATAAGATATATGTATGGGAATATATGGGAATTAGAAACACTCTATCGACATTTGAGATGAAGCATCGACGCATAATAGAATGAAGATACCTACCAGATGCCAAGGTTCTCACAAGGCTCGCACTCGTCAATGCCCACGGATGGGAACCTGCCGAAATTCATCGCCTAAGTTCCATTGACTTCGACCTCGTCCCTCCGACGAAAGTTTCCACGACCTTAGGGGCCTCGGCGAGGCCGAAATGGACTCTTACGTCCGGTCTAACTTGGTGTACCGATAAAAGGGGTGAGAAAATTTCCAGCGCTATCTTTATTGAATGACCCTAAAATTACTTCCATGATTTGCAACTCGAACATTTTCAGCAGTTTGATGAGGAATTTTCATTTTACGAAATCTTATGCGGTAGCTCTTTATGGCGAAAGCCAACGACACGCTGGAATTTCTCCGAGGGGGAGTTCTCCCCTCTCATTGCATTCCGCCTGTCGTCATTCTTGCGTTTTACCGGATTCAAGTTGAGCGTTGAAAATTCCTCAGGGAACTTTGCAGTCCTTAACGCACGGAATGCAAAACGAAACCGGTCGAGGGTCGACGAACTGCTTCGTAAAGTTGTTTCCTTCCCTTTGGGGTCGAAATTCAAAGTTGCAATTTTGGAGAGAAATATCCAGATGAGAGAAAGAAATCCACCCACGCTCACGCGGTGAAACCCAGGAAACTATTTTTTTTTTGCCGACTCCGGATGTTAACAGTAGATAAAAACCCGACACTTTTCGTCTCCGGCTTGAATCTGTGCCACGAAAACCCGGGAAACCTCATTCTGCCTGCGCCGTCGGCATCAACGAGCGGATTTTTATTTCAGGTTTCCTGGAGTTGCCGCCGAATTTATCCCGAGTTCCTAATTCCGTGCGACGGGAGTCGACTCTGAGTGAATCCGACTCGAAGATGAGAGTCGTCTGGCTTTTCGGGATCGTCTGGGCGATCCTCGTTCCCTCGTGTGAGTTTGCAGCGGATTCGGGGTTGATCATCGGAGATTCTGGCTTCCTTCCTTTTTTTTTCCGCGAGTTATTTCAGGCGAAATTTTAGGAATTTGACGTGAATGAGGGATTTTGGTGACTTTTTGGTGAATTTTCATCGACCGAATTTTCTCGAATCAAGGGTTGGAACTCGAATCCGCAACTTAATTTATCGACTCGAACGACGAAAGCCGACATTCCTTCGTAGTGAATCGACACTCGCGAATACATTGGGGGGGGGGGGGGGGGGGGGGGGGGGGGGGGGGGG